TTAAAAGGGCTACTTTGGAAAAAAAATATATAAATATGAGAGACAAAGTGGATTGGAGTCTTATATTTAGGACCAAAATAAAAATCAAAAGGATTTTATATTAAGGACCGAAAGTAGTATAATATCAGAGGGAATGTAAACTAAATATAATGGTAAATTAGTTTGTACTTATTAGTTATTAGTTATTACCCCTCTCCTTCCCTCTCCTCTCCTCTTGAACCAAATAAAGAATTGTTAAATTTTTCTCATCTCCCCATAAAACTAACCTAGAAGCAATAAATATTAAATACTTCATAGTTTATCATGATAGGCTCAGTGGTTGGGTCACATTGGCCAACCAGCTTAGTCCAAAACCATTGTAGTGATGGTGCTTTTCGACCTACTCATTGGGCGCTGTTTTTTTTTTTTTTCTGCAACAAAAAAGTCTAATTGTAGGAAAATGGGCCAGTCCACCCTTGGTGGATTGGGCCCAAGCCCATTAAATTTGGGGCTCTAATGCAAATAACATAACCTGTGGGTCTTAAATAGTTATTTGCAATTTTTCCTTCAGAATATGGATAAGGACAGACGGGGCGGTAGTTTTATTTTTCAGAGAGATAGGATCAGTTTAAAATAAATGATTCATTCAACCGGTTTACTCCTTCCCGCCTGCGTACCTCTCTCCTCTCCTCCTCCAACACAAAAGTGCATTTGCTGTGAACGTTGATTCCTATTCATTACTGTGATCGGAATTCCGCGCGTGGCTACCTAATCTGAGATTACTCGGCACTTCAGGTATGCCCGAATACCATTATTGGTATCAGAGCAAGGTTCTATTTCTTCCGCTGCCCTGTTTCACCTTCTGCGTTGTTTTTTTTTGTTGGTGTTCACGGTTTGGCACTTCATTCCCACTTCAGTGATTTGCTCTCAGATATTAAGCAAATCTTCTCTTTATATTCAGCATGATAGTTGTTTATAATGATTCTGTGTTATTTAATGGTTTTTTTTCGCTTCCATGAACGTCGGATGTGAGAGTTTTTTTTGTTTGTTGTCTCCAACAATTATATGATAGTATTTGCATGGGAGATGACCGAAAACAATTAAAAACATCTGAAAAACGGTAAAAACGTAGGTTTGGAAGCATGGAATTCATGATGAGAGAGACCCGTTTTCGCACAGTGAAGTTTTCGTTTTGGGTGTCTGAAAAATGAAGGTTTTAGGCTTCAAAAATTATCCCATTGCGTAGAGCTCGGAAAAACGAAGAAAATGACACCAAGAACGCGAAGAACGGACGTCGGACGGAGGACATATGGGGGAGAGAATAATCCGGGTCCGACGGACCCGACCCGCGACGGAAACCGGGTCGGTCAGACCCGGCTGGAGGTTGAAGACAACCTCCAGCCCCCAAACGACGTCGTTTTGACGTCGTACAAAAAAAAAACCGAGGCGGGGCGGATGCGTTGGTTGGGCTGGCTTGGTCCGGATCCGGATAGGACCGGACCAAGCCCAACCCGAAAAAAAAACAAAAAAAAATATTTAAAAAAAAAATATAAAAATATAATAATGATTAAAAAAAATCCCAGAATTGCCACGTGGCGCGTGCCGCCACGTGGCACACCTCATCGACACGTGGACACCACCACCTGAAAGGTGGTGGCGCGTTCGGCCCGGGAACGGCGCGTGTCCTCTTCTGCGGACCCATGGCGGCGCGTGACGTACACGCGCCGACAGCGAGAGTGGGCGAAGTTTTAAAAAAAAAAAATTCGCTAATTCTTCCTTCTAGGGGCGCGTGTAGGCGCGTGAATGGTCCAATTGGGGTGTGGTTTGTCTCTAAAAATCCCTAAAATTAGGATCTTCATTTTAATATATATTTTGATAATTTTAGAGACAATTTAGGATCCATTTATGAGTATTTTAGTGCGTTTTCTGGTGTTTTTATGTGGATAAAAAAATTCCAGAATATTCAAAATAATTTATATTATTTTGTTCTAGGTGAAAATGGAGCAAGAGGCTTCTAGTAGCACTGAAAATACCGATCATGGTTCATTGGAATACTCATTCCTAGGTGATGGAATTCCAGAATATGAACCTGAGGATGAGGATCCTGAGGAGGACCCTGAAGAGGTTCCTCAAGAAGACCCAGAGGAGTTAGTGGCTTCCGGACCTGAGTCGGAAACTATGTTCCCCACTGAACCTCTCCCTATTGAACCTCAATTAGTCTATAAAGATTCACTGGATCTCCCTAATGAAATTGAAGTTGAGGAAGGAGAAGAGGTGAACCAACCTTTGACCCCGCATTAGCTATGAGTATAGCTGAGAGAGATGCAGCAAAACTGACAAATATAAAAGGAATCAATGGCGTGCTCGCCAATTACATCCAATACATGACCGATAAGAAGAATACAGAATTCTACCTTAAAGTCATAATGGAGTACATAAGAGCAATAAGGGTTAGAGGCGGACCTAAAGGCAAACCCATAAGAAAATCTTACTGGATTTGGGCCATAGAGCTAGTATCCTCTTTTATGAACAAAACGCAAACTCAGGAGCCTAAGGAAAGCAATGCTTGATTACCTTTATGTGCATATCAAATAATGTAATATTTACATATGCTTTATTAATATTTGTGTATTAGTTTTTTTATGGTTTCATGCATTGTAAACAGACTAAATATGTTGTTTCATTTAATGAAATTACTTGAATTGTTGTTATATGATTATCTTGTGAATAGTATGTGTATGCTTTTTATAAGTGGGAGCTTTTAGAAGATAAGACTTCTAAGAGTCATAATTTTTTGAAGTGCTTATATAAAATCCTTGATAGGAAATAATGTTTGTTGCTTGTATCTGTGTGATGGGAGGTACAAACGTATGCTCTTGATCATGGATCTTGCAGCAACATTACTTTCTGATCAAGGATGATATAAGTACAAGACATTGTACACTTCGCTGTGCTATATATAACTAAGATGTTCTATGGTACATCTCTTTTAGAGAAAACGTAGAATAATGTGGGATAAATTTGCTTCAGAACTGAAAATGGCAACCAAAAACATAATTGCTGAGCTTAATAAGGGAGAAAAGCTCAACGGGGATAACTGGGACATATGGCACCGAAAGGTTCAATACATCTTGGAGGAACAAGATGCGGTTGAACCTTTAACCACTGTAATGGTGAACCTGAAGCTGGGAATACGGCCCAACATAGGAGAGACCAAGAGGCTTACCTAGTGTGGAAGAAGAAAACAGCATAGCAAGAATTACGCTTCTGAGTGCCATGGCTGATGACATTATGTGCGAGTTTGAGAGGCACAAAACTGCACAGGCTATGTGGATAGCGTTAAAGGACAAGTTTGGTGGTACTTCTACCACTAAACTTAGAAGGTTGACGATTAAGTTCGACACCTATAAGCTCAAGCCAAACAATCCAATGAAACAACATTTGAGAGAGATGGCCAACATGATCAGAGAACTTAAGGAAGCAGGCCATGTCCTGTCTGATGAACAGCAAGTACAGGCTGTTATCAGATCGCTTCCTGCTAGCTGGGAACACATGAAAGTCAACCTGACCCATAATGAAAACATCGTTACTTTTAACGATGTAGCCAAACACTTGGAGCTGGAGGATGAACGTTTAGAGGCTTACAAGACCTCTGGACAAGCTTATTACACCGAGGATGCCGGTACTTCCCAATCAAGGCCCGATTCCAAGAAGGGCAAGAAGTTTCAAAAGAAAGGGAAGAAGGGTGGTCCTCAATCCAAAAAAGGAAAGAAGCAATTCAAGAAGAAGGGAAAGAAAGGTGGGAAGAAGAAGCTAGACCTGAAGAAGGTCAAATGCTTCGCCTGCCAGAGAATGGGCCATTTCGCACGTGACTGTTCAAAACAGGCTGAGAGCGAAAAGGTATTAGTGGATTATGTGAATTCACATGTTTCATATGTTTCTAGTACTGTTTTTCTAACAGAACCTGTTTCTTCTTCTTGGATTATAGACTCAGGCTCCACAGACCACGTAACCAGGGATCGAGGATCCTTTATCGAGTACCGTCGGTTGCCCTATCAAAGCAAGTGGCTTTACGTTGGGAACAACGCGAGGATCGAGGTTAAAGGTTTGGGCACCTGCAAATTTACTTTGCGTGGTGGGAAGACCTTGATACTCCATGATGTACTTTATGCTCCTGACATCCGGCGGAACTTGGTTTCTGTATTGTGTCTGTTAGAATTTGGGTTTAATGTAAACTTTCATGGTAAAGTTGCAGACATTTTTAGCAACTCTGTTCTTTATGGTTCAGCTTTCCTGTTTAAGAAGTTCTTTGTTTTAGATATTGTTGGTGATTTCAATAGTAATGAATGCTTTGCTGTTTCTTCGAATAACATTGACATAAACACCTGGCATGCTAGACTAGGACACATTAATCAAAATAGAATGATTAAACTAGCAAAAGAAGGATTGTTGGGTGCCATTCCCAATATGGAAATGTCACTATGTGAGAACTGTCTAGCTGGTAAGGCAACAAGAAAGCCTTTCGGTAAGGGAAAAAGGGCTGAAACTCCATTGCAATTAATCCATTCTGATATTTGCGGTCCAATGAGTGTGAGGGCAAGACACGGAGCTTGGTATTTTATTACCTTTATTGACGATTTTTCACGATATGGTCATGTCTATTTGATCTCGCATAAGTCTGAAGCTCTTGAGTGCTTTAGACGATACATAAATGAGGTAGAGAATCAAATGGACAGTAAAATTAAAGCATTACGAACTGATCGAGGTCGTGAATATTTATCTGATCAATTCAAACAGCTCTGTGAAGAAAAGGGATAATCAGACAACTGACTATCCCTGGCACTCCACAACAAAATGGGGTTGCTGAAAGAAGAAACAGAACTCTTTTAGACATGGTTAGGTCAATGATGGCTCAAGCAAACCTGCCAATTTCTATTGGGGTGATGCTTTGTTAACGGCAACCTTCATACTTAACCGTGTACCCTCAAAATCAGTCGCTTCCACACCCTACGAGTTATGGACAAAACGCAAACCAGATCTAAGCATCTTGAGACCCTGGGGGTCAGCGGCGTATATCCATGATGCTTCTCATAAGCATGGGAAGTTGGGTCCCCGAGGAAAGAAATGTATCTTCATAAGGTACTCTGAACAATCAAAGGGATACGTTTTCATAGGTGAAAACGAAGATGGAACCGTGACTGAAATAGAATCAAGAGATGTAATATTCATTGAGACTGAATTTCCTAATAGAGGAGATGTTGACCGTACCGTTTCTCTTTATGAACACAGGAACAAGACAGTACAGAACAAATTGACAAACCAGAATCGTCTAGGTGTGTCAATCTGAGTGGGAGCCAAGAAAGGTCAACACCAAGACCTGAACAAAGAAAAAAGATAAGCAAAAAGCTCCCGTCAGAAGGAGTAACAGGGAAAGTGTTCCCAAAAGACGCTTTCAAATAGAAGGCGAATCTCTCTTAGTTACTCCAGAAGGGGATGATGAGCCCCGTTCTGTACGAGAAGCCTTGTCAGGTCCTGCGAAAGATGAATGGATGAAAGCTATGGAAGAAGAAATGGACTCAATGAAACAAGAACCAAGTTTGGGTGTTAGTTGATCTTCCAAAAGGGCGTAAAGCCATTGGGAACAAGTGGGTTCTCAAAATTAAAAGAAAAGTGGATGGATCAATTGACAAATACAAGGCTCGATTAGTGGCAAAGGGGTACACGCAACAGGAAGGAATAGATTATGAAGATACATTCTCACCTGTTGTGCGTTTCAATTCTATTAGACTTATTTTGGCAATAGTAAACAGTTTAGATCTAGAATTACATCAGATGGATGTAAAAACCGCATTTCTGAATGGTGATCTGGATGAAGAAATCTATATGGAACAACCATTAGGTTTCATTGAAAAAGGAAAAGAAAATAAAGTTTGTAAACTCAAAAGGTCCATTTATGGATTGAAGCAGTCATCCAGACAGTGGTATTTGAGGTTTCACAAAGCGATAACCTCATATGACTTCCAAATGATAGAGGAAGACCACTGCGTCTACATTAAGCGGTTTGAGGGTAATTTTGTCATATTATCCTTATATGTAGACGATATACTATTAGCCGGAAATAGTCTAGATTCGGTGGTGGCTATTAAAGAATGGCTTTCGTCGAATTTTGAAATGAAAGACATGGGTGAAGCAGAATACATACTTGGAGTTAAGATCCAAAGAAATCGTTCAAAACGAATCCTCTCTCTTTCACAAGAGAATTATATCAACAAGATTCTTGAGCGATTTAACATGAAAGACTGCAATCCCATGAGTACGCCCGTTGCCACTGGAGTGGCTTTGAGTTCTGACATGTGTCCCAAAACCGAATCTGATAAAAAGAAGATGGAAAGAGTTCCATATGCCAGTGCTGTTGGTAGTCTGATGTACGCAATGATGTGTACAAGACCAGACATCTGTTATGCAGTGGGACTGGTGAGCAGATTCCAGTCTAACCCCGGTGAAAAGCATTGGAAAGCAGTGAAGAGGATCTTGAGGTACTTAAAGGGAACTTCCAATTATGCACTGTGCTACGAAGGAGGTGACCTGCGTCTTGTTGGGTACTCCGATGCTGATGTAGGCGGAGATGAAGAAGAACGAAGGTCAACTTCAGGTTATACCTTCTTACTCAACAATGGCGCCATATGTTGGAGTAGCAAGAAGCAAACGTGCATTGCCTTACATTCGATGGAAGCTGAGTTTGTGGCTTGCACTGCAGCAGTGCAAGAGGCTTTATGGCTGAAGAGATTTATAGAACACCTTGGATTTGGAAACGAGAGTACCAGTCCAGTGATGGTATACTGTGACAATACTGCAGCCATAGCCTATACTAAAGATCCTAAGTATCACAGCAAAACCAAGCATATTGACATCAAGTATAATTTTGTTAGAGATTACATAGCACAAAAGATTGTTACTGTACAATATATTTCAACCAAATGTATGGTAGCAGATCCTCTGACAAAGCCAATAGGCGAAAAAGTTTTTAAAGAACATGTACAAGCCCTTGGCATACGTAAAGTGTAATATGAACGCTTCATTAATGAAATTGTATTTCGTTATCACTTTATGTGTTTGTCCGAAAGTATACAATGTCTAGTATGTCGTACAGGTTAAAAAGGGTTGACTCTCTCACACGGGCAACCGCCTTTGACACTCATGTGGAGTGAACAAAGATGAGACATTTGTGTTCACCAGTAAAGCAGCAATGAATGCTGATATGGTAGAGAAGAAACACAAACTTTATGTCGCCTTGACTAAAGTGTAGCAAGTCAAGATGAGATCCACGTTGATAAAGTTGGATCGAAGTTTGGAATCCCACTTCCATAATACCTGTAGCCAGACAACAAACTCTTCAACGTCGACGTCATAACAATGAGCAGAATTGAAGAATTTGGGTTTAGATACTGAGTGTGTCTGGACCTAAGTCTGTACGGTGTTAATAATAAATCTAAATCGACATACGCTCTTATAGTAAAAGAGTAACACCGTAGCATGTGTTTCATACCACATGTGCTGAAAGAACCGCAAAAGGGAAGCAAGTGAAAGATCCCTGCTTCATTGCTGTGTGAGTCCCAGGGAGGAATTATCCTCCTATTGGTGTCCTTTGACTTTGACAATATCATGAAGATATGTTTCAGTGACTGCTACTTTGGCATATGTCCTATGGTCATGATTGATGCGATCTAAGGTAGTATGCTAAGAAAGCGACTGATTCATTTCAAAGTGATGTTTGGGCGAAAGGAAGATTGACTGTGATATACACACCTATGCTAGTGTCTGTGACATGTCCCTTATGAAATTTTGTGGTCGTAAGTGTGGATACTAGACATAAGAGAAAGGTAATCTGAGTCAACTTTTGACTCAAGAGGGATTAGATTTACCATGAAAAAGTGTATATAAGTAAATCTAGGACATCTGAGGCATAATTTTTAAAATTCGCGCTACACAAAAGGAGAAGGTAACTTGTGCTGGTCCTATAAAAGGATTTCTAGTACAGGCACCTAAATGAAGACGTCATGCCCACGCGGTCACGGCAAAGCACTAAGTATGAAACTAAGGGGAGGCGAAGAGACGAGACCCTTGACATCTAATCCACCAAGTGTGAGTGGGAGATGTAGGAAAATGGGCCAGTCCACCCTTGGTGGATTGGGCCCAAGCCCATTAAATTTGGGGCTCTAATGCAAATAACATAACCTGTTGGTCTTAAATAGTTATTTGCAATTTTTCCTTCAGAATATGGATAAGGACAGACGGGGTGGTAGTTTTATTTTTCCAGAGAGATAGGATCAGTTTAAAATAAATTGATTCATTCAACCGGTTTACTCCTTCCCGCCTGCGTACCTCTTCTGCTCTCCTCCTCCAACACAAAAGTGCATTTGCTGTGAACGTTGATTCCTATTCATTACTGTGATCGGAATTCCGCGCGTGGCTACCTAATCTGAGATTACTCGGCACTTCAGGTATGCCCGAATACCATTACTAATCATTAGTTATATACGATTAAATATGTATAACCCCATCATTATGGAAATAATATCAACCCCATCGTGCCTATAGTCTTAATAAATACAATTTTAGGTTAATCGTTTTATTGATACCATGTTTAAAATGGATGTAAAAGCAACCATACGAGTATAACTTAGTGGTTATTTCACTCAGTTTCCTAAAAAAGTGATGGAGATTCGAATCTCATCATTCAGCACAGAAATCATCCCATAGCTAGTGCTCCTTTAATTCTATTTATAAGTTACTTTTAATATGGTTCATACAAATTAAGAAAAACCTTAAATTTTATTAACTCTTATTTAAAATTCAACAACTTTTCAGCTTTATCCCACTTAATATATATATATCATGTAAAACAGTTTACCGTTAAATGGAGGTTCTGCGGTGAGAGAAATAGTTATTGCTAGCTACGTGTATATAAAAAAGAGGTTGTGAAAGCAAATTGCAACATTTTAAAATCGTTTGTATGCCGCCATGTCTAAAATAACAACCATGATTGCAGCATTTTTCTTTTGGAAAAAAAAAAATCAAACTGATATTATCATTGTCCGCTCACACACGTAATTAAGCTGTGTTCATCAAGGTAAACAAACAACCTTGTTTAAGGTGGTTAAGTCATGGATCCCATGTGTGCGCGTGTCAAAAAGATATTGATCTGGTTTGGTCATCAAAGTCTTGTGAATTAAGATTCGTTTATAATTAAATGGGGAAGGCACATAGATGCAAGGAGCTGGTTTTGAAGGACTGATGGTATATTAATTAATTAGGAAGCGATGGCTTATGCTGGGGAATTCAAAGGCAGAGTATGTGTGACTGGGGCTTCTGGATTTCTGGCTTCTTGGCTTATTAAGCGGCTTCTTTCGTCAGGCTATCACGTCACTGCAACTGTCAGAGATTTAGGTAAACCTTTTCACTTTCATTACTTTACTCACTTTTGAAGGATTACAATGGCAAAATATTAACTAACTTGCGGTGCTGATGGATGTTCGTGATTTGCGTAGGGAATGAGAAGAAATTACAACACTTACAGAAGCTGGAAGGGGCAAAGGAGAGACTGCGACTTGTGAAAGCAGATTTAATGGTGGAAGGAAGCTTCGACGATGCAATCATGGGATGCACTGGCGTCTTCCACACTGCCTCTCCTGTCCTCAAACCTTCCTCAGATCCCAAGGTACGTACGAACGTACTTCACACATAATAATGACCTCATGCATAAAGATACCTACTTTTATATCGAGTTGATGATGATGCTTTTGCTTGAATCTGTGTGTGTGTGTGTGCGCCCAAAAAGGAAGAGATATTGAAACCAGCAATTGAGGGCACTCTTAATGTGCTGCGTTCGTGTGGGAAGAGCAAGTCGCTGAGGCGGGTGGTTTTGACGTCATCTTCGTCGGCGGCGAGGGTGAGAGATGATTTCGACCCCAACGTTCCTATTGATGAATCATCCTGGAGCTCCACTCAACTCTGCGACAAACTTGAGGTTTATTTCTTCCTTTGTTCCTGCACATGTTTTTGTCTCTATCTACATGGTTATGCATGGCTCTTGTACTTACGTATATACACACACATATACGTTCACATACACGCACGCATGGAAAAAAGATATGGTACGCATTATCAAAGACAATGGCGGAAAGAGCAGCATGGGATTTCTGCAGAGACAATGGCATAGATTTGGTGACAGTGCTACCATCATTCGTTATTGGACCCAGCTTGCCGCCACAACTGTGCTCCACAGCATCTGATGTCCTGGGCTTGCTCCAAGGGGAGAGCGAGAAATTTGGATGGCATGGAAGGATGGGGTACGTCCATATAGATGACGTGGCACTTTGCCATATCTTGGTTTACGAGAATGAAGCAGCCTCTGGTCGGTACCTTTGCAGCTCCACTGTGTTGGACAACCACGACTTGGCTGCTCTCCTTGCACTCCGCTTCCCTTGGCTCCCCATCCCTACAAGGTTCCTACAGCTCTCTATAAATCTCTTCTCCTTCCTTTTTTTGTGCTGATTCTTGTACTGATATGTATGAGCGAATTTGTTTTTGGAGTTTTCCAGGTTTGAGAAACATGATAGACCGTACTATGAGCTAAACACGTCCAAGATCAGAAATTTAGGACTCAAGTTTAGGTCTGTCGAAGAAATGTTTGACGATTGCGTTCTGTCGCTTGAGCAACAGGGCCATCTGCCGCCTCGCCCCGCCATCACTACTTCAACATAATAATCCCCATTTTCCACTTGCCATCAATCTTTATACGTATTTACAGCATCTCATGCATATTGTATTATGAACGTGAATCCAAACTCGAATGATATCGAAATAAGGTTTTACTTGATTTTTAATTTCTTTCAAGTTATTTATTAAAAAAAGTAATTTTAAAGTAAAAATTAAATCTGATTTTTTTAAAACTTTTTTTATGCTGAAATTTGATCTTTAATAGCTACATTTATATATATATGAAACCATACTATTCATAGTTATTAATATACAATAAAGTTTTTTGATACGCCCAGACAATACATTTAAATAATATCAAACTTTATGTAGAATACGTAATAATATATAGTCTAATTTTTTTTTAAAATTTTGTTTGGCATTCTAATAATATGGCAATGATTAAAAATTAAAACAAAAGGTTTAAATATGTGACGTCCCGACAATTTGGCCAAGTGACCCTTTTACATTTTCCCATACGTATAACTAAGCAATTATATAATCTCAGGAGAGCGAAAAGCCATATGCAACTATTTAATCACTCACAAGTTATCATCATCGAACAAATTCTACATCTTACTGCTTTCTTAGTGATATTTCATCTATATAATGCAAATAAATTGAAATGAAAAGAATAGCATCAACGTAAATGCATATGGAATAATGTAAGCTTCGTATATAATTATGTTGTTTTTGTACGTATTATACTACTCCTTCAAATGCAAAAAAAATACATCAAAATAGGGGATATTAATTTACTATCTTCCTTTGATAGAGGGAACATTTGAAAAAAAAAGGAGTAAGCCATATCTATCATTATTCACAGATAAAGCCAACGATCATAAACAACAACATCCCTAACATCAGAGGGTGAAACAAATTCTAATTGCATTTATAAGAGAAATTTAAAGACTTTCAGCGCTTCACTGCTTCAAGAACACGTATGATCCTTCCTGCTCTTGAACTTAGCTTGAATCCTTTCAAACGCCACCAGCTATTTCCTTTTCCTTGGTATTGATGTTCATATACTCGTATCAGCCGCAACATACTCTTATTTTTTTCGTTTTAGCTAGGTACCACAGTCATGGACGTCCTTGAGCTTTTTCGCCAGTTTCAGGGATGCATCTTCCAACATCAGTGTCGTCCGCTGGGAACATCTTACCTCCTACAGTAAAAAGTAATAAATCATCAATATGTTCATTGTTAGTCTTGCTAATTATATCAAGTTATTTACTGATAGCCGATCATTCAACCAAAATATTACTTGTCTTACTATCGCATTCTTTTGCTTTGGCCTCGTTTCCTTGCAACTTGGACGACTCTCGGGTCTCTGTGGAACCCAGATATGGAAATGGGACTTTCTTGAAATCATCTATAAGTGATTTCTGGAAAATTCGATCGCACTTCGTCAACCCAGTCACGCCCACTCCATCTGGATCTTGCAAAATCGGATTGTGCAGCGGATTCAAACCCTCAAAATTCGACTTCAACATCTTGTCCTTCCTCAGAAAATCAGCTTTCTTATCGAACCAATCGCCCCAGCCTTCCCTCAATGGCGAAACCCTCTTACCAACCTTCAACAGCAGCGCATCCTCAATCCCTGACACCTGAATCGCTTTTCTCCTCACCAGATCGTCCACCGGCACATCGTCGGAGCCAAACGCCGCCTTACTCCGGTCCTCCAACCCGGCTCCCATAAAAAACCCAGTCTGAGCATCTTCCCATGCCTCAATCGAACGTTTATCATATGCCCTCCGAATAACCCCGCTCACGTGATCAAAGAAATGCCCAGAAACCTTGATTTGCTCGAACGGCTCATCTTCTTCTTCCAATTCAATATTCCTCAAATCGTAATCTTCCTGTTGTTCTTCAATGACGTCGAGGGCGTCGATCTTGTCTTCGGTGCCGGAGATGTTGTCGTCGACGGAATCCGACAGGAGGGAGTCATAGTTGATGGAGTCATGTGAGGGTCTGGAGCTTCGGCGGTAGAGATTGGTGTGAAAGTGGGGATGAGAGTGAGAAAGGCTACTATACAAGAAAGAGACCGAAAGCATGAGAAGAATGGACGAAACGGCGGCACAAATATACGCACCATAAGGAGGACGACGCCGGGATCGAAGATTTCCCAACATTTTAGGGTTTTACGCTACAGGCAAAAGTGAAAAATTACAGAAGAAGAAGAGGGAAGAAGAAGAAGAAGAGATCAATTTTCTGAGTAAATTGCCCTCGCATTGCCGCGCTAGAGATCTCCGCCACTGTTGTCAGCATGAAATATATCTTGGACCTATTCATGCGCGAATCGATGGAAGGAATGGAACAAAGTACAAACTCTTATATGTGTGTGTGTCAGTTTAAATAAAAAATTAACTTATTTTCGAAACGACATAACTATATTTTTTTTGTCACATATGCGGCCGTTGGTTAGTGAAAATATTTATTATAGAATAGAGGTGAACAGGAAATCAAAGAATGGAAAGAGATCGTGTCATATTAAATCACTTTTAATTTATATTACACTACTATGTTTATGCTCTTATTTGTAAGTACTCTTTCGCTCTTTAATATAACTTATTTTATAATACAAATTATATTACAAAATAAGTTTAATATTAATGATCGAAGAGAGGCATCTGCATGGTACTTATCAGCTTGATAAGCACGGGAACATTATTTTTTTTAATGTTTTTCTTTTTCTTTTAATGTAATATTTGTGTTGTTTTTTTCAAGCACATGCAACCTTCCAAAATTTTCCAATGTACTTGTATTTATCCATATTTTTTACTTCACCCAGACATTGCTAGAAGATATCCTTATTAATTCTCTCTCTAAATTTAATTATTTTTTAACTTTATTTATATTTAATATATATTTCATCAGAACGATACTTGATTAAACCATAAAAAATAAAGAGTAAAATTATATATTTATATGAAAAATTTAATGATTTAGCTTATAAATGAGACCGATTTTTTTTAATAAATAGGACCATATGAGTATTTTACCATTTAATTAGAAATATGATTATCTATTACTATCTTCAGTCCTCAATATAAGAGCTAATTTAACATTCTACTTGGTTTTAAATATAATACCTCAATCCTCTTTATCTCTTGTATTTATTTTTTTTAAAAGTAATTCTTGTAGTAGTTACATATGTTAAATATTTCATTAAATAATAGATTTAACTAATATACATAATTGTAAGGACATTTTAAGATAACACCTACTTATTATAAATAGCTAACTTAATTAATATTTTTAATTTACTCAAATTATTCAACTAGCTCTTATATTAAAACTTGGAGGTAATATTTATTTTTAAAATTTATTTTTGTTCATAACTATTCTTCATAATAAAGGGATTATAAATCTATAAATTTTTGGGTAAACTAACATCCAGCATTGATGTTATTTCTAAGTAGTATTTAGTATTTTAATCTCATTTATGGCACACTTAGTTTTTTTAAAATTTATCCAGTACCTTTGAAATTATTTTCCAGTTACACCGAAGGCCATAATATTATTTATGATCAAGAGGTGCTAAATACATTATATATAAGATTAGGGTGTTAGATGCTTGATATATAATATTAGGATACTAGATAAAAAAAATGGTATAAGGATACTAAATACTGTTTTGCCCTAAATTTTTTCATACACCAATACCATTTTATTTAATTTGGATACCCTTTTAGTAATGTGCGATAAAATGAGAAAATTAAAGATGAACAGAATCAGATTGAGAAATTTTAGGAGATTGTTGAATGCGATAAAAGATTAAAAAAAAAAAGTTGCGGTGGAAAAAATGAAAACACAAAAACACAAAAAAAAACAAATGCTTATTGGGCGCCAAACACTCAAAATGGGTCACCTTGAGTGGTAACCACCAAAAGCGAACGCCCGAAGAGAGTGATTTGTAAGTTTCGCAAATAAAGAAACGTATTAAATCTTTTTTTTTTTTTTTTAACATTCATCCCTATTAAAGAAATAGTATTAAAAATGTTTTATCTAATACTAAATCTGCCGTACACAAATCATTTACAGCCTGTTTTTTTGGTCGATTCCCACATTTTTTTTACCAGAATTTCCACATTTTTTAACTTATTGAAAAGTGTGTATTTTCAATTATTTGTGTGCATATACCACCACGTTGTCATTTACTAGAGCAGGACAGAAGAGGATGAAGCAACAGCCATTTCTGATGATGCTATTTCTGCAGCGTTAGAACATTCTGACTCCATTTATCCATGCTTCACATTGCAAGTTATTCAAAGTTTCTTTCTGACACCTCAAAATTGAAGTTTAGTAACTCAGCCAGCATTCTCATTGCGATTTCAATTGTGATGATTAGAGCGCTTCGAGCAGCTATAAAAACTGAAAACTGAACCATTTCCAAGGGCCTAAGTAAAAAGTGATAACTGATAACTCATGTATGAAGTTTTATCATACTACTACATGCATAAATATGCAGTTCATCTTAACATGCCCAATTCTGCAAACAACCAGCTTCTTTCCAGGGACACAATTGGAGTATCGACACAAAAAGGACCCCAAAGAGGATGACCAACCATAACGCCGGATTAAGTTCAGCGGGAGATTGCACTGAAGCAGATTTTCTATCACACCACCCCAGAGGGAAGACGAAGAACAAGCTGACCCCCAAAAACACTGCATTCAATCATATATCACAAGAGTCAAGCCGGCAAGTTCTTCACATACTCTGACAAAAAGGCTGCAAAAGAAAGCGATGCAAGGGAAGAACTAAATATAAACAGCCAACCTTTTGATATAGTAGTAACAGAAATCTGCTAAGATGAAAGTCTGAACAATTTCAGAGATAAGAACCATTGATGGCCATAATCCATAACCCAGGGCAACTAACAACTGTCCACGACTATCCAAGACCTGTAGCATGAAACAGTAAGTTGGCAGCAGATGAGCTATTAGAAAAGTCCCGATAAGCTGTGCAACCAAAGAAATTGTGCTAAGAGAAGCAGCGAATTCAATTGTCAGCCATAGACAGACAGACTGAATGAATTTGATCAGGTTAAGAAATATAATATTGACAAGGAAAAAAATGCATAACGCAGTACACCCATCAATGCAATAGTGCTTCTGAAGAAGAACGACTTAGTTATACTATCAAAAGTTTGCAACAGACTAATCCTTTATAAATTGTGTATACATTTCATTCAGAGATAAAAGAGATAGCCATCACCAAAAATGTCCTCTTATTGATTTTGATCAGCAGCACAAGCCAGAAAACAAGTGCTCACCATACGTGCAAATGAATCAAGAGATAACTAATGCAATGACTAGTTTATATGAACAGAGCCATACCTGAAGAACCCAATGAGCACAGCTCAGGAATCTTGCAACACCCAGTGCAAATACATAATGAGCTGTGAATGGCTCAACAATCTGAAATAATATTAGGAAAATGAGTTATAAAAGAAACTAACAGAATTAGATTCTATAAAAGCAGAATCTTGGAAGATTATTTTTAAATTTAAGAAATTTTACTTTGGTGTTCTGCATGACGCGCAGTTGGGGCAGTACTGAAACAGCCTCTAGATATACACAGAAGGCCCAGAAAATCCTGTTTACGAAATGATGAGAAGTTGATGGATGAATCAACAACGCTAACACAGCACATGGTATCACCTGCATTCAATTTTAAAGGTAAAGGATAAGAACCAGACTGGTAGAATATAAAGTGTGTATGAGTTATAGGCAATCAACTATCAGTCCCAAAATTGCATAATTATGTGTAAAAGAAAGCAACTAAGACCCTTTAAGCAGAGGGCACCAACAAGAAAGGGGGAAGGGATGAGAGAGAGAGGAGTCATGATATGTATTTGTAAATCAAGTCACATGAAAACAAAGGCAGCAGACTCAACATGATACCATGGCAACTGGTTCTATTTCAACAGGAACATCATAACAAGTCATGCGCCAACTAAATAGAACACTCTAAACCCCCTAGTTTGAAAATGTAATTTAGGCATCAAGAAGGCATTTCAGCATCAGCATAAATAAGTTTCCCAATATTCAATGTACTGATACTGCAATGTTTCATTTATCCTGTCTTCAATCTAAAGAATAAAGACGCTGCAAGAAACGCTGAATTTTGGAAATTTAGAAATATAACTTCCTCAACGAAAATATATATATGGTAAATGCCCCAAAAACAAGCCTTAACACAATGTTGCCTTCCTTGGAATCCAATAATAGAGACGAAACTTTATTGGAGAGGTATAAACAACAGCAAACTTACCACATAGTATATTGCAAAGTTGTCCTTCTCCTCCATGTAACTGGCCCTAAGTTTGAAACGAATCATGTATATAACCCACAATGTTGTAGCTAGCGTAGCTAAATCAAGAAGGGTGTGTATATCATATTCCATAACAAAACTGCAGTACAGCCTAACAGCTAGAAATATAGCTGTTAATTCCTGAGACTTGAGTGATAGTCCTGTGTAGCATTGAATAAAAAGAGTTACGATAAAGGCGTGAGAGCTATGACAAGAAAAGAAACCCTAGAGATATCGACATGAACATCTCAACTCAATGTCTGTTGTATGACATAGGCAGAACCTATAAGATGTTAAACATTCGTTCAAATTAAATTAACGAGAAAATGAAACTTGAAAAAAAAAAATGATCTCTAGTGTTTCTGTGCAGAAAAGAACTGGGCTCAGGTTAACAAAGAAGCATCCAGGCTCAAGCATGTAGATCCCTGTAACACGGACGAAAACCTTAATCCAGGAAAAAAATTGATCTTTTTCCCTGACCCAAGTTTTCTGAGCATTCCAACTAAGCATCAAGGGAATCTGAGGTTCGGAACTCCCAGATTACCCTCTCGCTATCTCCATATGAGCAAAAAGAGAATGGAAAGATCTAAAGCTGGTCAATGAGCGAGACAGGTCTATCAATCTCCTCTATTCACACAACCCAAAAATGGAATACCAAAATTGCGCACAACACTTGCTCATAGCTAGACCAATTTTCGATTAATCAAATACATACCCATCAGAAATTCTCAATCAATCAATCAAATAAATCCAACTATAAAATGTCCACAAAATGGTTGCTAATACCAGCGCATGTCTTCTCCTTCATAAGCTTAT